TGGCATGAGGACTACTTATCTATTTTGTTCTCTGTTGTTTTGTTTTCAGATGTTTGTTTCAATCCCGTGTTCCCTCTTATGCTATACTCAGATCCAGATCACACGTTCATTCTTTCAAAAAACTAAAAAAGTACAATGAAATGTGTATATATGTACAGATTGTACTAAATGGTAGCTTATTTTGTTCAAAAGAATGATCTATTTAGGTCACGCTAAAAACATGCTTCTAATCACATTGAGAGCTGTAATTTAAACCACACAACTCTGCGATGCTGTTTGCAAATGTTTGTTGGAAATGCAACCCAGTTCTGATGATAATGTAAAATATGGCAAAATGAATAAATAATTAAAAATAAATAATAAGTAATAAGTAAAATTAATATTTGAATTTGCTAGCCAAAAATAAACAAATAAATAAATAAACAAATAAATAAATACACAGCTATTAAAAATTGTGTTTTTCATGTTGGAGTTAGATCACGTTGTTATAAATTCTGGTTATTTCGAAAAATACACAGTAGCCCATTAAAAAGAGGTGATCACAGAAAGTATATAATGCTCATAAACAAATAAGTACTGAACTCGCCTTTAAGGTAATAAATCAGTATATGTACATATATATATATATATATATATATATATATATTGTCATATTTTTGTAGTTCCTGCTCCAAGAGCTGAGGAGAACTCCAAAGCTGCAGAGCTAGCTAGCCGCCTAAACCAAATGGATAAAGATCTAGCTCAAGTTGAGATGGACACTCTGAGCAGTCTAAGAGCCCCACTGAACCGCACTGATCCTGCCACAGACCTCACTAAACGTCTGAAGGAGCAAGAGGTGAGACATGCTTTAGATATCTAACTAGAAGTAAACTGTATTAAAAATTATGGTATGCAATAAAACCGATATAAGGTTGATTTCATGGCTGTCAACCTTAATCCAAAGCAGTGGTTCTCAACCCTGTTCAATCAAACACATCTGATTTAGGTCATCAGCACATTACTAGAAACTCCAAGGCCTGAAATGGATGTGTCAGACAAAGCAGACATTCAAAATGTGCAGTGTTATGTGGCCTCAGGAACAGAGTTTAAAACCACTGCTCTAAAGCAATGGTTTTTAGAAAAAAATTGTCAGTGGAACAAAGGCACCACACTGATAAAAATGATTTTGTGGTGAAGTAAATAATACAGAAAAACACAAATGGAAAAGTCAGCCATCTATTAATTATCATGTTAATTACTGTGTGCCTTTAGCCCCAACAGCAGGGGTGCTTTTTACCCCAAATACCATACTTTTACATATTCTTTTGATATTTAAAAACTGTTGCTCTAATTATCTTAAACAAAATGAAAATCATAAAGACCTTTTTCTCAAAATATATGCATTAATTTTAGCAAACTTCTAAATGATAAAATTATGAATGTGTACACATTACTCACAAAATGCATACTACAAAATTATGTATTGAAGAATAATGCACAAGTAGAGAGCAAGCGCAAATCCTAGCAGCGGCAGGTCGCAGCGCCACTTCCGGTTGTATATATATATATATATATATA